TCCTTGATCGGACCTCAGTTGCGTTGCTGGCGAGTGCCCGCTCACGTCCTAGTTCAGAACAAGGTGGGAAAGGGGGTGGGGGGGCAAACCGGGGGCGATGGCGACGGCATTCGCGCGCGCAGAAGCGCGCCAGCCAGGGCGCGGCAGTCGGCGAAAGGACCTGCAGGAGGCGTCCTCATGTCTTTCCAAAGGCGGGGATGGACCGCAGGAGGTTGGCGTGCATGGCGTAAGCGAAACATGCACAGGAGTCGATCCCGACGAAATTGGAAGTCACGCCTTGAGGGAGTTGGTGAACGCATCAACGCAATGTCGCCTGCGGGAGGCCATGCTTGCCAGCGGGGGGCTGGAAGGACTCGCAGGGCCAACCGCGTGAGAGCCCGCCCAGGAGTTCATCGCCACCTTGGAGCCAGGATCGGACTACAAAGGTGCAGGCGTGGAGCGTGAGTGGCTGGCGGGTGGTTTCTTCAACCTGGCGAGGTTACGCAGCGCGGAGTCATCGGATGCCGCGCTTTGTGCAGTTTGTGACATGGGGGATGGCACCGACCTTTGCGGAGTCTTCACGCGTGATTGGCACATGAACGAGAATCACGATTGGAATGGATACAAGTGGAACTTGCGGGGGCGACGAAGGATATGATGAGGGCGGGACCACCCGATCACGATGATGATGGTGATGATGCTGGTGATGATGGTGCTGATGATGTCGATGCAGATGATGATGATGATGATGATGGTGATGATGATGATTATGGCGATGATGGTGATGGTGATGGTGGCTGTGAGGGCGAGGGTGATGGTGATGATGAAGATGCTGATGCTGATGCTGTTGATGAAGATGATGACCATGCTGATGCTGATGATGCTGATGATGACGAGGATGGTGGTGATGATGGTGGTAGTGGTGGTGGCGGTTATGTGCAAGGGCCTCCTCCACGATCCGCTACATGACCTGCCGGTCCCAGCCGTTCATGATGCGATCAGGTGGCACAGATGCACGGTCACTGGATGATTTCCACGCTGGGAGGTTCGTTCCCATGCCGGCTGGGCCCTCTGGATGACTGGTGGACTTGGCAATTCGGTTGCTGCTGCGTCAGAGCCTGTCCCTTTTCCTTGGCAAACTTCTGGCGCGGCGGAGATGTTTGCAGCAACCAGGACAATCCTGCGCAAATCTCGGGGAGAGCTTCTCTAGGCCACTAACTACGAGGAAATGGTTTGGGGCTGGCAAGATGGCCGCCCGCAAGGCGCGGACTTGGCCCGCCAGGTTGCCGAGCTCTGGGCCAATTTCTGGAAGGCACTGGACGATGTCGCTGTCATGGCGCATGAGCAAGGCAACAAGGATGTCGAGTTCTTCGCGAACAGTGGTGCGGCAATGCGCCCCAGGATGTGCCGCCAGGAGCGCATCACACAGATGCGTGAGCAAACCGCCGCCTTGACGCCCAAGACAGTGGTGATGATATGGCAGCGGTGCTCGAGAGGAGAATGGGCGGATATTGAACGGAAAGAGTCTCTGATCGCAACATCGGCCTGTCCCTGAATGATGGCCATTGCCATCTCGTTCATAGGTTCTGAGGGGATGGTTGTGCGAGAAATGGGGACCTAGTCGTGTTCGGCGGTGCGACTCGGTGAGTCTGGTGTGTGGAGGGCACCCACAGGGGGTCTCAACCTGCGCGCAGCTCACACCGCCTCTGATAAACTGGGCCAGTGGGTTCGTGTTGAATGCACGGCTGGCTGTGCCTCTAGAGCGTTTTTGATAGCCAGACCTTGTGACGGGAAATCCCCCCTGGGCCCACAGTGGTAATTTAAGATGAAGTATTTGCTCCAGGGGAAGGCCCTTCTGGCGAGACGGTTGGCGACGAGGTCCACAGGCCCGTCCCCATCGGTTCGCACAGCTGATCCTCTAGGTTCGAGTTTATTAGTTTTTCTCGCTGTCCTGGCGCCTCGTCGATCGGAGCCCCTCGTCGTCATCATTCGCCTCAGTAGTCTCTCCGTCCTTCCCCCTCCTCCTCCGGTCGGATAATCACCCCCCGAACGCCCCCCCAAAGCAAACGCAGAGGCCCGCCACCAGCGAAGCGGCTGCCAGGGCAGGTCTGAGAGATCTGAGGCCGACTCGCCGAGGTCCTTGGGCTGAAGGGTAGGGCTGGATCCTGACATCCTTTTCTACGCTGACTTTTTCTCGTGTGCACTTTCGGCGACAAGATGTCGTGCTGCCGCTGTCGCCCTCCCCTTCTCTAACGCAGACCCCTGGCGGTGACGGTGTCTCCCTGACGATCGGAGAATGTCAGATCAGATCAGTTCTGCGCTGGCCTCCTCTGGTCGGATTAAGAGGTCCTACAGGGGCGCGTCGACTCGCTGAGATTTTGGGGTGGTGGGGTAGGGTTGGATCCTGACCTCCTCTGCTGCGATGATTTCCCCTCGTGTGCACTTCTGGCCTGCTGCCGCTGTCGCTCTCTCTGGTCGGATCATGATCGGGGGCGGAAAAGAGGGGGGTGATGATTAGGGG